GTGCAGCGGATCGACTGTTGCCGTTTCATCCGGACTCAGACCACAGCTGCGCCGCACCGTCGCCAGAGTCAAACCACCGTCACCACCACGAACAGCATACTTTTCCAGAACATCACGACATTGGAAAGCGGTGCGACTTCGTGCGTAGTTCCACAAGCAACGGAGTGTTACCAAACAAGCAGGCCCGTCCCGTAAGAAGTCCTTTAAGGTGGGATCCCGCGGAAAAATACCATGCGCTGCAGCTAGTTTTTCCTTGCCGGCGATGCGGGCCGCATCCACGAAGACGCTTTTGTATTTGCATACTGCCGTCCGCCGAAACATGGAGTTCAAGGTCTCTTCGGTGACTCCCGAGAACCTGCCCAGTAGAGAGGAGCTCTAAGTTACAGTCGAACATCAACCAAACATCACAATATTACGTAGCTGCCGACATTATGCCCTGATTACCTCAATCTGCAGTCGAGCAACTTGGGAGCAGTGTTTAGCTCGAATTTTTTCCAACCACGCAGTTCCACCAGTTCCGTGTGTATGGCGTACGGCAGACGCTCTGGCACCTTGTCGGCGGAAATGTGCTTCTTGTAGATGTCTTCTCTCATCGGACGTCGGGAGCCCTGCACGCTTTCTTGCCCGGTCACGACAATTTTCCCGACGATGTTGGCAGCTTGCTTCCGCATCTCCTGTCTGAGTACTCTGTAATGGTCTCAGATACAAGCTTGTCGTACAACCACTAGTATAGCTTCATGTCCTACAGTTTTATGGATGTTTTAGGATTTGTTCATCTTCCTGCCTCGTCCACAAAGTATATGTTCATGTCGAGACAAGTGTGGTATTCTCCGAGGATGGCTTCCAAATGCGCTGTCTGGAGACTTTGGCCCACGCCACCTGCGCCTATACCCCAGAAGGCACGGTCCGCGTTCTCACCACGCAAAGCAAGAGTGAACGAGGCCATGAAGACCTCGAATGCATTCGCGTTGTCCCAGTAGGTCGTCTGCCAGAACAAGTGCACTCTTTGCCGCACGTCATCCGCAACCGGATCCAGCATTTTGTGCGGAAGGTAGACATAGACGTCGTTGGCTGCTGCTTTGGGGACTGCCTGCAACCCAGCATCCGTGAAAGTGAAACAGGCATCGGTGGTGCAAAAGCCACCAGAGGGCTGAATGTCGAGAGAACACCAGGCAATGTAGTACTTGATGAGACTATCATTGAGCAAGGAGGTTTGCCTGGGAGCTGTCACCGACAAGCACACAAACTAAATAGAACCAGTTAAACTCTATATTCAACACGAAGCATTTCTCACGTTTTACATGAAACGAGCGGCAACTTCACATAGAGCTTGCCGATTGTGTTGGCCATTGCCACCGTCCAAGGCAAGGCCTTGCGATGGTCCTCGGCCCCATCGCCTTCATCCCGAGTGTTTGCTTTGGATGGCATTCGACAAGTAGCAGCCCTTTCACAGGCAGCCAGAAGGCTATCGCAGCAACCAGAGTGTCTTTCCAACAAAGCTTGAGACGCCTGCAGGATGCCTTCACTGTTCCGTAGGGCAGATGACTCGAATAACGCGTAGACGCCTTCCAACTGGATCAGAAACTTCTTACATCGCGCAAGAGTGCCTTGGGGCACCACACCCTTGTAAGCATTCCAGTGGCCATGTTCCGAATAGAAAAAACATTGGCCATTGTGGGCACGGACATGTCTCCCGGACCCTTCGATGAGCTCGAGGAACAGGACTTCCTCTCGCCGGCTGATATCCAGAAGCCGAAGTTGATGGACAGCTAGAGCCCCTTGAACCACGTGACGAAAGGCGGTCGACCATGCCGCACTGGGCCGATATGCTGTAATCATCCTTTCGAGTCCGCCGATCTCCTTGAGGATGCTCCCTTCAACAGATTCGCGCTCGGAGGACTGACCAGGGATGGATGACATATCGAAATCCGTTTGCATGAACTGACTCATTGCATTATCCGGAGTAGCTCCCTCCACAGATTCCTGGGCTTTGTGTCGCTTCGAAGATCGTTCGTCTGCACTGGGTATTTCTGGAAGTACGTCTTCATAAGTGTCCATCTCTTGATCCAACATCTGCGAGAATGATAGCTCGCCTTCTTGACTCCCGCCACGTAAATCTCCACTCTCTGCGGAGAGGTGTATCTGGAGCTGTCTATCATCCCTTCTCCAGCTCATTAGCTTTTCGATCTTGTCCTGCATCATTGGCACGTTCACGATGAGTGGCTGCGGCGCATTGTCCGGATGCAAGCACACTATCCTGAGTTCTGTCACGTTGATGTCGTAGTATCTTCGTAGGATCCAGGCGTAGATGTTCACTTGAACCCGATAGTGCCACAGGACGGAATCAGGAACGTCGTTCATGGGAAAGTGCATCATGCGTCCATACGCAGCATCTTTGGAAGCAAGGGCCTTGGTTCTTTTCCAGTCCAGAATGCAATACTCGTTCTGTCGTACGGCCACTGCATCAATGGAGCCCGCAACATCCTCTGCTTCACAGTAAACACACCACTCTGTTCTGAATATCATCCATCCTTCTGCTTGTAATCCTCGTATGACCTTGGTGAACATGCACATCTCCTCCGAGGCAAGGCACACCATCCCACCGTTCAACAAGCACTCGCAGCACGCATGCATCCATGTACCCTGAGCAGCAGCCGTGCGTCGGTTCCTCTCCCATCTGTCCAGGATCTCATCATCCGTCATGCTGACAACAGAAGCTAGATGAGAACAGCCTGGATGAGTCCAGACAAGATCACGGATAGCCTGACAGATGGCTGCAATATCTGTCACCTCTGCATCTACCAAATGTCGCAGTATCAGCGTCAAAGGGCTATTCGGTAGATGTTGGTTTAAGACCTCCACGACATTGGCAACTGTGTACTCCTCTCGTGGCCAGTTTCTGCCATTGCGCATCGCACGGAGTGCGTCAGCAGAATTGAATTGATGCGTGAGACCATGAATCAAGCTGGTAACCGACACGCTGACTCTGCGCCCTTCCCAAGTGTAAATATGTTCCAGTTCTTCAAACTGGAGACTGCAATCGCGGGGGTGAAGATGTACGTGACTCAAGACGTCCAACACATTCATGCCGGCTAGGTGCGTGATGTCGAAGCATGAGGGACTCTCCAGCACAATTGTACGTGGATTTCTGAGATCTCTCAATGCAGGTGGCAGAACAGCAGCCAAGTCCACGTCGATCAGACCAAACCTACCAGGCGTCTTCGTGCCATTTCTGTCAATCGCGAAGAACGCAGACACGCCATTGTGTTGAATAGAACGTTCAAGTCTTCGCAAGAAATTCTGGTCCACGTCATGGAAGCTTGCGTTATGGATTTCCGATGCTGCATAGACTAGCTCCTGCTGCATCCTGATGCGATCACAGAGTAAACCAAATGCCGCACTTTCGCCTTCGAAATTGACATACAATCGCAGCAATGCGGTCAGACGTCTTTGTTCAATGTGTATCCGTTGTTGTCCTATTCCAGACGACCCGCCGAGGCGATCCTCCAAGAAGGTGTCAGGAAGGCATGCCAGGCACGACTCATTTCCCACGAGACCATGTTGCTGGCAATACCAATATGAGCAGGTCATACAGCAGCCAACACTGTCTGAGTAACAGTAGGAACACTTTGGCTGGCCAAAGTGGGTTTGATATTGAAATGGCAGCAACTCAACGCTCAGGCCTGTAGCTGGCCGCTCACTATCGCCGACACACATGACAGCGACACGCGACCAGTGATCTAAACGTTGTGTCGCCGATAAGGGAAGTGTGATCACAACTGCATCATTGTAATGCACCGCGAGCGCATCGTCCTCCCACCGAAACTCAAACGTATGAAAGTCAGTCGTTGCCGATGTCATCCAGCTTGCTTGTGGGACTCCAACACGCTCACCATTTAACAATCGAACAGACATCTGTCCAGAATGACTGAAGGGATCCTTGAGAATCATGCAGGTGCTCCTTGTCGGAGTGCTGCGATGGTTGGGACCACGTCGAATCGCCATCACCAAGTACTTTGTGTACTGTGGCAGACCACATCGAAGTTTCACGGATTTGTATGTTTGACACTCAGACCTCCAGTACGTAATTGCCTTCCGTCTCTCGATCAAGCATGGTACATATTCGCCATCGCCGCGAAGCCAGAGTTTATCACCCAGGGCAGTGAAAATATGCAAGAGCGCATGTGGACAATACACGCGCTTGGCGCTTGTCTGCCAAGCTTCCCGAAGACCATGAAAAAATGTACTGGCACGAAAAACCGGGCTCGGCAAGGATTTAAACTCAATCCGTTCATCCAGCCAGACTTGTTTGTGTTGCACAGCTGTTCGCAGCGCATCGCTGCACGCAGACAGGCGGAGTAGGTCTGCCATACCCTCCAGCCAGGGAGCTGCACGCGACAGTGTGTCTGTCCAATCTGAAGCTCCACCTTGTAGATCTGCAATCGCGCTTGATCCGCCTTGTGCGTCGTAGCAGTCAAACACCCAAGATGTATCTAGTTCAGTAGGCAGGAGTGAGCTGTGAATAGGCACGGTGACCAATCTAGACTCTCTTGTACAAAAGATGTGGATGGCAACCTGTGCTGCGTGTGTAAACTGCCCATGTTCCAGCGGTAAACATCCAAGCAAGTATCCGTCCATGCAGATCTGGAAAGTGCATTGTCCCCATTGAACGTGTAGTTGTCGATCAGATTCCATGGGCCTCCAAGGCATGCGACATGTGCGTGTCGCTGCTTCCCGGTCCCGTCGACTGTGGCTCATGGAACACAGTACCACCTCGCCCTGTAAATTGCCAAGTTCGCACCAGCATCTCTCCATATTGGAGCCTACAGAGATGATGCATCTTTCTGGCATATCTGCTGCGCAGAGGTTGAAACGAAGAGGTCCCAGAACTGATCCGGCTGTGCGCCATATCGTCATGCTTGTTTCAGCTAGCAGCATTGTGCGACGTGCACTTGGCCACTCCACTGTAAGGAAGCGGGAAGACCGCAGTGCTCGACTCAGCTCAGAGCCACCGCGGAACCAGTCCCCCCGCACGGCCTGGGAGTTGATGAGTCCAGGGCTGCTTCCTGTCCACGTCACCGAATCTGTGACCAGACGATGAGCCGCTGTGCTTGTTTGATCGAATCGGGCCAGTGATGTCAAGTCTCCAAGTATTGTGACCACATCGACGTGATTCGGCAAGTCTTGCCACGCCCCACCCAGCACATCTCCGCCAGAAGTGCCGCCAACCGCCGCGTCCTGCGACAATCACAACGGTAGAGGTTTCATGAGTTTCCGCTACCTACTATTTTGTCTGACTCGATATCAGTACATCCTAATCTCCTTTCCTCCGTATTTGCTTAGCATGTATGATATCATGTAAGAGCCAAGACTAGAAAGCCGCTTATGATAAGGACGGATACTGCAAGTTTTCCAGCCACGGCCCCAAGTCAAGCCGGTCCTCTATGGCAAAGAAGCCCGTGCATAAGCGTGGGTTCAGAAACCATCCATGTTCAGCTGAGTAAGACACCGGGTTTTCAATATCATCGACCTGGACTGCTTCCCAATTGTGCGTTCTATTCGTGTGGTTCAGCTGAAGACAGCCATCTTGCTTTCGCAAAGCCATGAAGTGTGCATCAGCCGCCACCAGAAACTTCGCGTCCCGTGATCGGACAATGTGCTGCCAGTCCGTGCGGCGGATGATTTTCCTCAACAGACCCAAGCACGCGGAACACTCGTTCTGCTGCGCACAATTCGGTGCATCTTATCTAAGTGCAGTCAAGCTGCCCCAGTGGGTTCACGAACCTGTTGCCGTCTCGCATGGCCCAAAAGGGCCCATCCGCTGCATACTCGCATTTGTGGCCGTGGCCCCGTAGTGCATCGATGAGGCACACGTCCAAGTACTTCTCCCGCTTGCCTCAGTAGTCGGAAACATTGCCGCGTATTCGATCGCTTGGCTACATTTACATGTTACTCTGACGTCGAGACGCTTGGGGGGCAGTCACGCGCATGAGCCTTCTGACGCAATGCCATTCCTGCAGAGGCATGGATCTGCCGACTCAGATGTGCTTGTCTGGCGAGTGCTGAGCAGTCTGCTTGATCGCTGATGTCTGCGACTGCAGCGACGTGCCCACATATGTCGCGGGATCAACTTCCAGTCAACATTCGCCTGTAACAGCATGGACGTTCATATGTCAAGCATCTCGTGGTGTTGTTTTATAGACAGCACCTTACCCAAGGCCTTAGCCACAGGCCGCTTCGATGTGCTGGGCCATGGAGCGAGTATCCTTTGTTGTTGCAATCTAGCACGACACATGGTAACATGCGATCGTGCATATAAACCGACCGTGAAGCACACGAACCTGTGGCAGATGTTGCTTCATTCTTCGCCAAGTCACTCAAATGGATCCACGTAGTTCTCGGAGGCGTCGCGGTTCCTCGAATGATATTAGAAGTACACATAGTTACAAACTCGGTCTCATACGTTCGAGCGATGGACATGTGCATCCACTTCAGATTGTCACGAACGAGCGCATCTGCAAGAGGTGCAAAGATACGCCAGTCCGACCTCGCTTACACATTCCGATCGAGTTCAAATGTATATCTGCTCGTGTGTTTCCGGAACATATGCTCTAGAAGTCAAGGTCGGCACGCGGTGACACCATGCCTCACCGAGATCACATGATCATATTCGACAACGAACATGCATGCTGAGTCGCCAACTCTCGGTCGATGAGATTTTGGACTCCATAGACAGGACTGAAGTGATAAAACTTCTGCCTCAGTATCCGGAAGTCAATCGTTTCAGTATTGATTTAAACACGTAACTAAGAAGTCATCTTGCGCCCATTCACATGAGCATATTCGACAACGAACACGCATGCTGAGTCGCCAACTCTCGGTCGATGAGATTTTGGACTCCATAGACAGGAATGAAGTGGTAAAACTCCTGCCTCAGTACCCAGAAGTCAAGCGTTTCAGTCTTGCCTTGCGTTGGTATGGACCCTATTGCCTTCTGTCCGTATCAAAGTTGCGCAATGCCTGATTGCTGCTCTCCAGCCTTCGACTTCTCTGCCGCAGCCGCTTCGACAATGCCCGTCTCAGCTATCGATAAACAGAAAAGATCTGTCCCCGCCGCACGTGCTCTCAAGTGTGAACATCCTCCATAGTCTCGTACGCTCGATCAAAGTTCCTGGCCCACAGATATCGACCCTGGCGGAAGCTGCGTTGGGCGGACACCTGCATCCAAGGACAGCTTCCTATTTAGCGGGCCAGTGCACTCCTCACATGACTGAGAGCTCCGCATCTTCGCCTCCAACCTTACCATGCAGAAGGTCATCCATGCTAGCTCTTACAGCGGTGTTGCTACCACGACAACCACTCGATCACACCGGAGGAGTCCACGTTGTCTTCATCCACCGGCCGCGTTCGTCCAGCATCCCTTGCTACAATGTACAGACACACACACACACACACACACACACAGACCACCTTCCATGTTTGGTCTATTGCCGACATGGTGCAGGCAGGCTTCGGACCTGAAACAATTGCTTCCGGGACATGTCCCTGAACATCTTGTTGCAAACATGGAAAGCAGTCCTCCAGCGACAGAAGTACCCGTTTCCCTGCAAGAGCAACACTGGGATATCAAGGTTTGCGGGTGCTGGGATCTGTTAAGGCCTTGATATTTCGTATCACTGAACCCAATGAGGTGCAGACGTCATAAAAACCACGCGGTCGTCAGCCGCGGCTGCAGGCCTTATCTGTTCGACTCTGTGTAACGCTGCATTGTGCTTCGATCCGATTGAGAAGGTCGCTCCACCCGCTGCCGGCGGCAGTCGTCCAGCGTTGCTGACCTGAAACAGAAGGTATGTGGGAGTTGGAGTCTTGCCCGGGAAATACTCATGGGATTCCCAGTCTTTATACATAACTGTGGCGCCGACGGATCGTCCTTCTCTGGCTTGTCGATCCTGCCATACCACATACTGCCCGTTCGCGCTTCTCTAGCCTACGCAGATATCACGCGACTGCCTCACCCAGCGATTTTGGTACGGCACGAAGACACCTTCGATGATATCCAGAACAAAGTTCATCAATGTGCACATACAAATGGATAGCAGCATACGATCGAGTTGCGCGTCCCAGACGGCTGCACGGTGGGAGGACGGTGTTCCACCCTTGTGTCAGCTTATTTGTGGATAAGTCTACCATGCCGCAACTTGGGCTTCGCGCGCGTCGTCCGCGAACCACGGGCATGCTGAGAAGCAAATCATGGTCCTGCAGTGTCATGTCGGTGCGGAGTTGTTATGATATTCTTGCAGTATGCAGTCAAGGCACACGAGAATCTGCGTGGAAAGGAAGTGCTGTGTAAGCTTGAGCCAAGAACA